TCGTCTCTTCAAGTATTCGTTTTTTGTTTTGTTTTTATAAATACCGTATATTTTTCTGTTGATTTTTTTCAGTTAGGTAATATCCATTATCGTCCATAACAATGGATGTTAAGTGATTAAATAAAAAAATAATAAAGAATCCTAAACATACAATATGGATGAGATCGTGTGGTTTTTAATATTGTTTGATACTGTATGTTGTGAGTTACGTTGGATTACGACTTTTATAAACGCTGTGTTTGCGCCACACAAGTACACGTTGTGCAAAAGCAATATTTCTAGTTTCTAGTCAAAATCAAATTTGTTCATCAACATTCAATATCAAACAAAAATATATATAAATATTTCACCCATGTTGAATCTTCAATAATAAAGGCTGAGTCCATCAAATGCTTTACTATAAATGAGAACATCTGTGGGTCTCAGAGTTTCTTTTGTAGTCCGAGGAATTTCGAATAATCCACCACTTAGCGTGGGATTTTAACAACAGTTATATGTTCAACAAACAATAACCCCAATGTGAAAGATTATGGGTTGTTTATAAGGTACTTTCGGCATCAGTCGACACACTGTAGATATACTAACACGTGATTACGTGTTGGGAATCACGAGTATGTGCAAGTATATTTTCTGTCCGCTGCGACCAAAGAGTTTACACTGACTTATTATTATATCCACAGGTCTACGGCGAATTGCTAAGCATGGCAACAATTAACATCAGTGATATTGATGAAAAATTTCTTCAGTGTCCAAACTGTAGTAAAGGATTTGTAAAACCTAAAATCTTACCTCGATGTAACCACACTGTATGCGAAGAATGTCTGGTCGATATTATACAAAAAAATCGCGGCAAACTACGTTGCCCAGTATGTTGCCTTGACAACACATCTTTAATACCGGATGATGGAATTAGCAGCCTTCCAGACAGCAAAATCGTCAGCTCGCTGCAAGATTTTGTGGGCATTCACAAATCACGGGTGAATACCACACTCCTAGAGAAATGTAGATTATGCGAGAAAGAGGCGAAGGGATATTGCGTCATCTGTGATCAGCTGATATGCCCTGGATGCCAAGAGGCACACTTAAAAATAACAACAACTAAAGATCATAAAGTTGTTTCTGTAGCAGAGTATCAGACCACCCCAACAGAACTCCTGCGTCCTGCAAATTGCCCACATCACAATGGCAAGCAAATACAGATGTATTGCGAATCCTGTGAAGTCCCAGTCTGCTCAGAGTGCAGTTTGATACTTCACCAAGGAGATCACCACAAACATGTGACACTCAAGACAGCAGCCAAGAAGAAGAAATCTAAGATTTTTGAGACAATGGCGCAGGTGAAAGAAAAGATTCCTGAAATGAAAATAGCAAGAGTAAACTTCAATATGACAAAGGACAAACTTCTCTATGATAGGACAGTTTTGTATAAACAGATCAAGACGATAGCAGATAACATGAAAAAGGACATTGAGCGAGCAGAGTGTATTTTGTTGCAAGATGTACAGAATCATTTCGTTGATAAGATTGATGGTCTGGAGAAAGATATAGCAAGAATGGATACCATGATGGAATATAGTAAGAACATTGTTAGTATTGGTGATAACATGAAGTGGAGTGAGATAGATACATGGGTGTTCTTCCTCGAGAAGCAGTATGGGAAACAGATGCAGGATATTGCCAACACAGAAACACGTCTTCCTGTTCCTGTCTTCCAATCCACTGAGTTCCACCCAAATAACGATCTTGCTTCAAAGATGAAGGAGGGTGTAGGAAAGTTGACCATTTCTGATCCTCAAGAAACCATACAACTGTCATCCATAAATCGGAAACAGTTCAAGCGAATCAAGACTATAGAGTCAAGTGGAACCCTTAATAGGAAGAGAGTTAAGCAACCTAGAGGCGTGACACTGTTGGATGATGACAGCTTTTATGTTGCTGATATGGGAAATGACAGAGTTTTGAAATACACAACACATGCTAAGTATCAGATGGAGTTTCAATTTGTAAAGCCCTATGACATCACAGCTGTAGACACAGATTCATCCCTGGGTGGAAACATTTTTGTGACTGATGGTAAGGAGTTGACAAGATGCAGTGATACAGGGGTCGTTTATTACAAGGAAGATTTAGTGAGTGAAAAACTGCTACAGCCTCTTGGGATCACTACAGACATAACAAAAAAGTACTTGTACTTCGTTGGTATTTCTAAAGAAGAGTCAGAATCACATTTTACTGCAACTGATCTTACTTGGCCTGATGTAAAGTCGAATACTAAACGAAATACAAATGTGTTATTCAGTGATTTTGGTTCCAGGAAAGACAGAAAGCAACTGATATTTGAAGCAGAGTCAAAGTTTGTGGCTGTTAATAGTAAAAATCAAATTATCACAGCTGATACAAGACGTGGAACAGTTCTCATCTTTGACGCCAAAGATCGACGGTTTGTGTCTTCATTTGGTTCACAAGGAAAAAATAATGGTCAATTTATCAATCCAATGGGCGTCGCTGTTAATAGTAAAGATGAAATCATTGTTTGCAGCAAAGGCCGTATACAGATGTTCTCTCCTGATGGTAGTTTTCTCTTTCGCATTGACAGAGACGAGGATAAACTTCATCAGCCAGTTGCAGTCTGTGTTACCAAGAAACTGCCTCAGAGAATAATAGCAACTGTAGAAGATGAAGATGGAAATGGACGAATTGTCATATACAAAGAAAATTAAGTAGTTGATTTTCTTGACTGCCATTTACAGAATTATGTGATCTAAATGCTGGCCAGTTAGGGTTAGGGTTATTGGCTTCTTCTGAAGGTAAATTACACGCCACTGGATCTTGCACCAATGTTTGCATTCATTATTTTGAACTGTAAAGATCTCCAACAATGATATTTGTTGTAGTGAACATACTATCCAAGGGCATTTAATAAACATTCAATTAGTGTATACAAACATTTAGATATACAACAATTCAAGACACCAGGTTTTTGTGATCACATGTGGTTGTATGATAATGTACCAGAAAAAATGTTGGAAAAGTTTGCTTTTCTCGACATTGACAATGTCTGAATATTTGTTTTAATTTTGTCAAAAAGTTAAAAATGACAGACTACAACTTTTACTTTGTTGTACACTAATTCTAATTCTAAATAATTATTTGTTTTGAAAATGATATTCTTAGCCAGGTTCCATGCACACTTGCTTTGTTAGTTAATCAGATATATGCCCTCATCAGACAAGCCCAATAAAATGTACTTAAGGAAACACGAGCTGGTATATTCTAAATATTATATATAAATGGATATTTTATTGTTATTTATAGGATCTTTCAGGCATTTAGGTTCTATTTCCAGGTGCATATCCGGTACATCTTTCAGGCATCTCGGTTCTATTTCTAGGTGCATACATAGCCTGTACATCTTTCAGGCATTTAGGTTCTATTTCCAGGTGCATATCCTGTACATCTTCCAGGCATCTCGGTTCTATTTCT